AGAACATGTTTAGCTAAGAAAAAGGAATCACTTGGAAATTGGAAATTAAATTTGTAAGATATTAATGAGCAGCAGCAGCAGTGACGAGACCTTAGTCCCGGTGGTATCACAATGGGCCCCCTAAAGGCCTAGGTGTGTCGAAAGACAGCCACTCTACCTACCTATGTAATCAGTAGTTGTTCTTTTATAATACAAACTCCACCAAAAAATTTAGAAAATATTTAAACAACATTTTTCTCAATCTATTGTATGATTTTTGTATTCTAAATTTCCTAAAAGTTGTTTGTACTAAACTCACAATCGTTAACCACAAAATTTTATTCAGTAATTTTAACTAGAAAACACTTTTGTCTCCTCACTTAGTCACATAATTATACTTAAGGCCATTTGCAAGCCAACAGAGCTCTCAAGATGTGTGTTTAACCACGTAAGCAGCCATAATTTTGCTAATTTTAGTTCGCGTAACAACCGACAACAACAACATACATCGAGTAAAATACACGAACAACACGATGCCAACGGCGAAGTGTCAACATTCAAACAACCTTCCAAGTGCCATAGTGTGCATAAGTAGCAAAAGCCACACCACAAAGATAGTCATAAGTGCAGAACGAGGGGGAAAAGAGAAAACAAAGAAGCAGCCTCATAAAAGTTGTAAACTAACACACAGCAGATCATTTACCGCACACTCTCTTGAGCCACACGGATAAATAGTTATATAACTTGTGTCAGTTCTAATTTTAAAAATTTTAGAGATACCTATGTGTACATGTAATTACTAATTGTGACGGTGGAAGAAAGGACATTGTTCACAGTATTTAACTGTTATAAAATAATATTGAAAATCAGTACACGAATTGAATTTAGGGAATGCGGTCATTAAATTCACGTTATCACAATGTTATTAATCTAATGAAGTAAATAAATTGAGTCAAAAATCCAAGCATCCCAGTTCTTCGACTACATCCCAACATGTGCCTTTCTTGAGAGTGTTTTAACTAGATGACTTTTTGCCTTAGCTTTTTTTTCAAATATATTGATTTTTATAAATAATATATAAAAATTTACAAAAAAAGTTGGAGTCGCCATTGTGTTTGCACAGAATTTTGAGTTGTGTAGAAGCGCGTGAGTTAACTATGATCACTTCAACACATCGCATCATGGTATCACAATGCCGATGTTATCACAGAGATGCAGGAGTTAGAAGCAGGGAGTGAAGGAATGCACGTACGAATTTTAATTTGTTTCAATAAAGTAGTTGAAAATCACAAGTTAATGTGTTGTTAACTTAATACGTGTTGAATGTCATCAAAATAATGTTGATCACATCTTGATCTGCCGAATATCTTTTGCTGAACAAAACTTACAATTATTACTTTATTGACTGAAACAGATATTAAAACCGAAACATAAGGTGAATAATAAATTTGCGAAAGCTTTTAACTATTAAGATTGATATTTTGGCCTTGGGTCCAATTTCCGAACTAAGATGGTATTCGAACTGTCATAAAACAGTTAAGTTGATGCTTCAAGAAATGAAGAAGAAGTATGAAGAGAAGACTAAAAGAAACGGCAAAAACTAGTATTTTCATTTGAAGAATATACACATTCGAAAAAACTTTATAGCATTTCTTGGTATCATAAAAATATAAATAATAAAACAACCTTAACATTATTTGAAGCCAATAAAACTAGTATCCTTGCATAAAGCCAGGCTTTAAACTGCTGGTTGAAAAATAAAAAGACATTTTTTTACAAAAGTAATGTGTAGCCCTGCCATAAAGCCATACCCATTAACAATAAGTGCTAAGCATGTTCTATATACAAACAAGTTGACAATACTGACGCGTGAGTGCGCACTACAAAGAGCAAAATCACAATACCCTATAATTTTCCACTTATTTACAATTATGACCACAAAATGCTGTAAAATAAAATGCTGCGTAAAACTTCCTTTTTAAAGTCAGTAATTTTATAGCATAGTGTTGGTTTGTATACGAGCGCATTCAGGTTGCTCATAATCGCTTTATGTTGCCATCACTTGTACAGATTCGTCTGTTGTATTTGTCGTTCTGCCGGTTCGCCTGCTTGTATGTGGAATGCATAAATGTATGACATAAAATAAGAGTTTGGGAAAGTCGTTCATCATTTAAAGAAAAATCACTTTGGATAATAATGTAATTTACTGTGTTTTAGTGCTGTGTATATGTCTTAACGATGTCTCTGCTATCCCCATTTTAATTAAAAGTAATCTTTGATTTATGCAACCACAAAGCGTTATTATCCCCATGCAAACCAATGAAAAATTTAAATAAAACCAGTTTACACCTTAAGCTCAAATGGGAATCCAAAAATGCATGCAAACGCAATAAGTTACGCATATGCCGTGTCATACAATATTAAACTTACTGGTTTAACCTATTCAGTCGTCATGAGTCATTATCATAGAGCAAATAAAGTTTGAACTGATTGGCATTTGGATGGATTGGCAACAATACGGTATTTTTAACCTTTACCTAAAACGTAAAACATAAAAATGACACTAACAAGAAAAATTTAGATAACGTTGAATAATTTTAGCAAAAATCTTTTAGCTTGATATTTTGTAGAACTTTTTCAGAAATCAGTGTAAAACCTCTTTTTTGTCAAGGCTACATTAGGGCGAAGACGAGAATAACCTTGGAAAAAGGAAACTTATTAGATAATAACAAACTTAACCCTCTTAACGTTGCATGCATCTTAAAAATATGTAGCAAAATGCCACGTAGCTGAAGCGCAGACAAAAATTCTTTTCAATTAAGCTCGGGCAAATTGGACCAATTAGAGGCAAACAAAAAACGATCAACACTCATTATACATCATAAGCGCCTTAAAAGCTTTCTGAAATAATGTGAATGTAAAGCAAAAGCCCGCATTGCTTGCTCAGTACAAAGGAGAACACATGAAATAGAAAAACACTAACAACAGTATCGTTGCACATGTACGTTGCATGCAGCACATCTGTATGCTTCCAACACACTGCAGATCCTAAATTATTCATATGTGATGCAACACGAAACAGCCATCGGCTCCTAACGCTGTTTGCACTGCTGATTATACTTGTACTACTATAAATGAAGCCAACTGACAACGCTTTTAGACACACACAGCGGACGCGAGAGAGTTGGCTAGAATATGGCTGTTTCCCAAACCCGGCCTGTTAGAGCTCTCAAATTGCAGGCAAAAATAAGGATAAGGAAAAGTTATGTTACGCTAAGTTCTCGACTATTTCTTTTCACTCAAACATATTGTTTTATATGATTTCAGTCATGTTATGTGAGTGCATTGAAATATGGGCTCTTCGCGGCCCTGCTTAGACAAATGCGTTGATGAATGTTAAGCCGCATTGGTGAGAGACTTCCGAAATCACTGCCGTTGTAATTCGTGTTCATTAAGCATAATCACATAGATTTATATTGTTAACACTTATTTTATGAAATTTTATCTAAACATTATCATGTGAATGTGTGTATTAATCTGTAATCGTATGCATATACGCGTCGAAAGGTGATTCCCATTCGTTAATCAGTTTTAGGAAAATACATTGAAGAGTGCTAAATTTTTCAGCTTAAACGAAACCATAAACCTCCTAGCATGAAGAAAAAGGTGGAACAGAGTTTGATTTTGTGTTCACAATGATCCACGATATTGAAGTTTCTTTCAAAAAATGAGCAATTTTGTAGAAAATGACTTCATCGAGGAGCGTGGTTGAAATATTTACGTATATATTAAAACAATGTTAGTTCACACATATATACTTTTAGGATAGACTGTATTTTATATTTTACAAATGCAAATTTTGTTAACAAAACTACCCATTCACTTGGGTCATTCATAGCATTCTAAATGTACACTACGGAGGATATACAGCGTCATATGCACAGTTATCGCATACTCACAATACTCTAACAATTTACTTTTTCATTTATCATCGCGCAGCTTCGGCCGTTTGCAGTCTGCCATATCCAAACAAAACACTAATCATAGTCAGATATAGCAAATGGAGCGAGAACGTTAAAATAACATAGCAGAAAGCTTTGTGCTTGAACTCAGTGCTGAGTTGTGGAGGAACTGGACAATCACGAAGAAAAATGGCGTGGATATGTTCACTTTTTTACCACAAAAAAAATATAATCATACAAAAAAATTTATGGCAATGCTGTTAGTTGATGAGTGGGTGAATTCACTTGCTTCCAGGTAGAATATATACAAATGCGTGAAATAAAGCCAAACTAGATGCAATATGAAACAAATGGGAAAACTTCTTGATGGGTTGGCAATGGATATATTAACGTTTCTTCATCAGCATTGGGCTTATAATGTTTTCATTTCTAAATTCATTGAACTGATATCAGTTCTGAGGAAATCGCGCATGACTTTTCATTTCAGTTTTTCCATTTTTGTTATATTATGACTACTAACTGGTCTCCATTTTTCTGAAGTAGCTTAAATATTTCAACATTTTTAAAAAATGATGCATCCAAAATAATATTTACCGAAGACTCTGCTTTAAGTGAACCTCAAACTCTTGCCAACGGAAATTAAACAAATTTTCTGTGTAAAAACTTCCGAAGAGAGTTCAATTTACATACATACGTCGGCTAAAAAGTTATATAAATCATGTAATAATATTGGTAACGGTGCATAAGTATGTGATTATATTAAGGCATGTAATTAAGACAATTGATAGAAAGGTGCGCAGCTTGAAACTAAAGTAGAAATGTGAATATTTCGCCATCAACGCGTAAGGTGTTTCATTAGTATGCTTCTAAAAGTCCGTAGATTTTATTCTTATCTCGTAAAGTAATATAAAAATGTTAAGAAAACGAAGCAATTCATATAAATAACTCTAAAAACTCTAAATTTAACGTTTTGCTTGAAGTTTTCCTTTCGAGAATCTATGCCTCATTTTAATCTTACCTGGTGTACTATATTCCATATTTTTATGAAAGAAAGTAAACTTTTACTCATTGCACTTTAATTATTATTAAAATTTGAGTTACATGTCGACTTAATGAATAATTAATGCAATGAATTTCATTTCCGTGAATTGGTGTCGTCTCTTTTTCCTCATCTGCAAGTGCTAGCAAATCCGGAGTAAAATGCTACTCATTATTCGCCAATAACAAATTCTCTGCAGGTTTTCACTGAAGTGGTCTCTAAAGTAGAAAAATTGCTGAAATATGTGAAAAATCTAAAATGAGTGAAAAATCTTCAAAATCTTCGCTTAAGTTACGAGATTCGACTTACTCATCCGCTCAGAGGCACGCCTCATTTTTTCACTCGCCTTACTTCAACGATGATCCGATGACTGTTACCCAACTCGAGCTCTGTGCTATTTAGCTCAAAGTGTCAATCAACTTGCTGACATTAGTGCATAGTTTGCTATCTTTATCCTAAATAAAGGAGGTTTAGATTTCTCATCTGCCTACGGAGTGATAAAAGTTAAGTTACTTTAAAGGTATGGAATCACACGGTTTTATCTGCTTAGTTATATTAAAATTTACTAGCTCTGTTTGCCAAAAATAATCTAGTTTAAGTTTAGGTAGTTTGTTCTGGGCAACCATATTAATTCTAATTTATACTTTTTATATTTATTTGATTTTATTATGGTTTTTAGAATTTATTTTCAGTGTGCCATGGCGTATGAGCAACATTTGCGTGCAATCACGAGCCAGTTTGTGTGTTGGGGTTTATTCATACCATTGCTGTATTCTCTATTTACATTTTTTGGTGGCACGTATTTACATTTGTGTCTGTTTGAGTCTGATTCGTTGATTTAAGTTGGAAACAATGTGTCTTGTTTACTTTCCTGTGGAATGTAAATATTTGTTGTTATTTTTTCACCAGATAAACAAATATTTACACAAACTTGCGTGTTGCATTAATTGTGCAAATTACTAAATGTTAAATATTTTTTCAATTTTATGTCGAAAAAGATGAATATTTTATGACCGCTGGTTTTAGGCAACTTGTATTTAATGCGAAGCTGGGAATTTGTCTTTGATTTAAACCTCACACTTTTATAAAAGTATCAATATACTATTAGTGGAACATCAACCGCCTGGAACTTCCGGCAGATATTAGTAGGTGTCTTTGTTTGCTTTAACTTTTGGCTGTACTCATTAAAAGCACTTTCATTCGATGGCAAGTGGTGGTATGTGCTTCAGAAGCTGTCGCCATATTGCAGTATTCATCAACTCCCTTGAGGCTTCACCAGCGCATTCATTCGAGTTCATTTCCTCTTTCGCGTTTAAATATTTGCAATGAACTATTGTTTGCTTTGATCCTGTAACTTTTCTTTGAGTCAAGGTATTGCGTCCACACAGCGTAAGTGTTGGCCTTACGCATATGCTGGTGAGTTATTTCAAAGCTTGTCTACTGCCACCAAAATTTCAAAACATTTGTCGTTTTACCAATAGGCCATACCACCAGCGAATGGTTTGCTATAGAAGTTATTGCTAAAAGTGATTTTATGGCGTTCCCATTTCGTATTTCACTACAGGTTCTAAAATTTCATTAAATGTTACATTTATCATAATCCTCCGCCTCTTCGCGTTCCGACCCTCGGCCTACAGCTGTGCAATAGCAGAACTTAAAATTATTTTCGAGTAAATTATAATTTTTTTCAGAATTCAATCTTTCCAGCTGCAACGGCTGTGACCTGTTCAATAGTTTTCTTATTGTCTTTAAGACCTCGTTTTTTGCTTTGATTTCCTGATATAAATGTGCTTTCAATAAGGCAACGCCACGCCTTTCTTTGGCGAAGCTATAGATTTAACAAATGAAATAGTACGAAACTACTGCCGTCAGTAGTAGTTGAGGTCAGTCAAAGGGTCGTAGCTAACAGAGGTTTTCCAGCTTATCTGCTCGTACAGCGCAAGCAGCATCGCTGAGTGCAAAGCTCTAAGTTTATCTTTATTCTCATGAATTGCTTGTGGTCGCTGTGGAATTTCTTATTTTCAATGTAATTCTTCATCTGCAGCTGTCTGAGTTGGTAAAATGAAATTGGCTTCGATTGCAATCACTGCAGCTTTAGAACTTATTTCAACGATCAGCTCCATAAAAAAGTATGTTTGTGTGTGCCTTTGTGTGCTTATAAGCTTCTAGAGTGCTTTGCTTTGTACAGAAAATGCTTCTCGCTGCATTGATAACGCCTGATTGCATCTTGAAGTTTCTATTTAAGCCCAAAAAAAGGTGCATTGCTGCCATCCGAACAAAGCGAGAAGTCTTCAACCGAACTGTTAACTCCGCAGTTAAGAGTGCTGCCATCGAAAAAAAGTAGTAAATCTTCTGAAAGTTTTTAGCAGTTATTTCAATTTTATTTGTTTGCTGCTCGGCTTGAATTGTTTGTGAGAGAGGCTGGCTGCAGTAACCACCCTACAATAGTTACCTAATTTTTTTCAATTAGAAACAAAATTTGGAAGCGCATACCGCAGTGCAGTGTTAAATTAATGCAGCATTTCGTATATAAAAAATGTAAACCAAACCTTAATTTAAGATTTTAAAATGAGATTGTGTTTGCACTTCGGTTGCCTACTAAAACTCAGTTTGTGAAATTTCGCCGTTTCTAAAATCACATAACTGGGAATCTAATTAATTCTCAACTCAAAGTTCGTCAAACCACATTTCCAATTTCTTTCGCAAACCAACAAGGTCACTTTAATGGGCCAAATTGCCACAGTTTCCTTTTCTACCATAAAAAGTTTTCACGTGAACTATTACAATGAAAATATTTGCGTCGGAAAGAATGCTGATGCCAAAATATAAATTAATAGATGTGGCAAGAAGCTGTGTGAGAGACAACCGCAACATATCGCAATATTAACTTGAGGAACATCGACTTCAACCGCATTTGTTTCGCGGCTGCACCAAACAGCCGAAATTAAATATTTACGACAAGTTTACGCACACCGTCTTCACGCATGTCTTTATTCGAGTATGTAAGCTCAATCCATAAATCAGCGCTTCGCTCCACCACTTCAAGCCATTTGAATGCGATTGGCCTGCGAATATATTTGCCAACGCGTTTTTGACTTGCCCCGTCGACATTTGTCAATCTTCCGGTCACCGCGCGCCGTTGTGAACACTTTTAGTGGCATAGTAAATCTCGAGTTAGTGAAGTGAAGTGCAATTTGTGAGTGTGCAACGTCACTTTCTTAAAGCAACTCTTAGCAGCCGCAAAGCAACCGAAAGTTTTCAGGAGCAGCCACAACATCAACTTGGGCGCAGCCAATTCGTGCGCTTGCTGTTGCAACTTATTTAGATTGTTTCAAACTCACGAGCAAGAGCAAATCGGCGAAGGCATATATTATATATTATATATAAAGATATATAGTTTTGTCGTCTTTTATCTTTTCCAAGCGCCAAAAAATTACTTTGAAGAACTTGTTCTACTTTAAAAAGTTCTCTGTAAATCAGTACTTTAGAAAAATTCAAACATTGAGGAGAGAAATCCACCTCAGTTTGTTGACTATATATGTAATTGTTTAAAAATATTAAATTGAGGTAGTTATAGATAAGTTAGCTAAACAACAAATAAAATTGAGATAAAAACTATATTTTCACTTTGCACTTTTCTCTTCAAATGGGCATGATGAAAATAATTTTAAAGAACCAAATTCTATATCATCTGCTCAAAATGACGACACAATATTAACGGCAATTACAATGACAATTGACACTGAAATAAAAGTGGAAACAGATTGGATTACAAAAGCAAAACAACTGCTAAACGAGAGAATCGAAGACTGCAACGAGCAAATTAAAAAGCCATTAAATTAATTCCACCAAATTACATCGATGAAATTGTTCGCAGCGTGTAAAACTCGCTTGATGGGTCTATTATTGCATATCGTTTGCGGTTTGTTTACTTTTGTCAAGGGAGAAATTTTATTATTTTAAACTTTGATGCTAATTAAATGAGTTAGTCAATGTAAGTATAATTTTCGCTAAATTGTGTGAAAGCTCCCCTAAAAGCCATCATATCGCCAAGAGACGAGTGTAATTTCACGAGTGTAATTTCGTGTGCAAGTGTTCGAGTGTGTAACATATTTACTATTAGCTATATGGCTATTGCGATATTGTATTTTGAGCTTCATTTCAGCGTTCCGATCGTTATAATTACCTCTGCTGTCAATGATTAAGCAATTTTGGTTTGTAAGAATATTCTCTCATATACATTCGCTCAAATCAACAGTTAAAACTTTAAGTTAAGAGATCAATTTGATTCCACTTGACATGCTGGCCTCCAGTATTGCGTTTCCAGGTAACATTATCTAACAAGTTGTAAGATGTCTCAATTAAATTGACGAAAAAGCTTCTAGAAATATCTTCCATCAATTGTTATCCAAATGTTCCATTCGTGTATCTCACGATCTTATAATTTTCCGACCGATACTTTTCCACCATTAGAATAAATTCTCAAATGATTAAATTATTTTTCTTTCTTATCAACTTTACTTTCTTCCATCCACCTCCTTAACTTCCTGACTTATAACAATTAGGAAATACAAATAACCCCACGATTATATATGTACGATCATATAGTTTTAGTATGTTTGTTTAACATAGAAAACTTAGAGACAAACCAAGCAATGGAGGGAGTTTTTGTGGTTTCCTATCAAATTACTGTAGTGACCTGCATTAAAGGCCTTGAACGAACTTCAAACAAAAAATAAGATATTGTGTGGCATAATCGTCGCACCCGCAGGGCTAGTTGCTGAATCGCTGAAGGCAGCACGGCTGGTGCCGCAAACAGCATTTGCGAGTGCAGTAACTAGCACCACAGGCAGAACTGTGGTCAGGCTGAGAAGATATTGCTAACTTGCTAGAATGTTCTTGTAAACGTAAATATGTATGTTTACATATATTTGTATACTTTTTCGAAAATATTCTTTTTTGCTATTTATTCCATGTGACTTACTCGTAAAAATAAAAACTCTTTTTCATAATATTTTTGTTGTTGGTAATATGAAGGTACTCACCCTGTTACACATGAGATGTGCTCCTCCAAAGCCTATGTGGAGGAATCGGGAGATGCCGTATGCCTCCATACTCGCTTCAGTTCCACCGTATGTTCATATCATTCCTAAACGATAAAACAGAAGCCGCGAATTATAGTTATAGATTAAAGTTTTATAAATTAAAATTGCTTTCCAAAAACTTCTGAGATTGTTTCAAAGTTAGAAATCCTTTCGAATTTAAAAGAATTAACAATTAAGTAAATTTTAAACACTATATATAACGCCGACTCGTGGTATATTCTGAGATGAAAACATTAATTTAACAAATTTAACAAAAAAAAACTATTACAACGTTATCTAGTGGAGTTTTTAGCAACTTAATTGTATTCCAATTACCTTGTTTCAGTGTCGTTTAAATTAGGATTCCTAACTCTCGAGTGTGGTGATTATTTAAACAGCAATAATATGGTCTTTGTTCACTATGACCGTCACAGTGCCTCTTGATGCATTGCACAGAAAATTCCTCAAAATGGTAACAGCAATCTCACACTTTTCTTTAAGAGCTATTATGACGGCCTAATTTCGGCAAACCGTTATTAATAGTACAGTGTTGCATTGTTTGCTGTTTTAAAACATAATTTCCCAAGTGCATGTGTTGTCAGAAATAATCAGCGAGCATTTGGCGCAACTGCCAAATTATAAGCAGCACAATACTGCGCATGCAGTAGTGCGGGCGCAATGAAAGCATTAATGGAATATGCGTAAGAGAAAGGCTTGCGACGAGTGTTAAAGAGGAACATGGTGGAGAAATGAGCAGATGGCGACCAACACTACACAGACGCGATTATTTTAATCTGTGTTAAATATGTGCATACTTATATTTTCGGGAACGTCAAAACGGAGTTTCCGATTTGGAAAGCAAGTGAAAAAAGACACGAGCCAACATAGTTGAACGAATAACCACCGCTAAAACCAAAAAAAAAAAAAAAAAAATTAAATGCATTCCTTCGAGAGTTTTGTTTGAGGTGGAATTGTTAAAAATGAAGCCAGAATATCGAAAATAGGCTTCAAGGCAGAAGAATTTTCTCATATCACTCATTTCGTGGAATTTATATTTTCATATTTTTCAAACATCTTTATGTACGGTGTGGCTTTGAGAATGCACTTTATATATACAAACAGGTAAACAAATTCCTTTCTGGCAAATGTTCCACATTTCGATTTGCCTGTGTGCAATTTACACGCCATAATGCCTAAATGAATGATGGGTAATAGTAAAAATGTGAAAGAAAAGGATCGCAAATGCGAAGCGTTTAGTACACAAACAAAATTACATCAATCAGTCATCAAGAGTTAACGCTACAAGCATACGTAAGTGACAAGCAATTAATGTCACTCATACGCACCGTCAGTTCCTACTTCCGCTCACACACCGCTTATTAATAATTGCTCTGTTGAGTTATAACAAAGTAATTGCATTTGCAATAGAAATTTACATATATGGAGGATAAAAGGGTAGGCTGAGAAAGGAAACTTCGTTTCAAAGTGCCTGTGTGAGAGTGTGAATGCGTTAAATCAAATTTCATCATCAAATTACGCTAAAAGCTGCTTAGCGATCTAAGTGAATTGCAACCTTGAAGTTCCAATTAACAGTTTAAATGTTTCTTCTTTCCTTCGTCGGGGTGCGCCGTGCTGTGGAAAACTAAACTTCTTAACTTATATTAAGCCTAACATATGTGTGTATTGCTTGAGGTATACAGTGGAGCCTTTTTGCAGCTAGCTTTATAGGATTTCAACTTAATAAAGCGCACTGAGCAAGATTTTTTTTTTTCAATAGTGCAAGCTCCGATTTAGTTGAAAACAAAATGTGCCTAACTTAAACGAAAATTTCGTTACAACACTGTTTACGACGCAGTAATATTCTAGTGGCTTCATACGTCGAAAATAATTTCTTAAAAAATTAATAGTTTCCCAAACTCTCTGTAGTTAAATTATGAAGTAAGTACATACATATACACATGGGAATATGGCCAGAAGCTGATTAAGATTTATCACAACAAAGACCACTGTCTCACATATTCACATTCTTACCGCAGATTTTTCACCAGCATTAATCCAGAGCAATTTATAGCGCCTGTCTCGCCGTTTCAGCACAATTATTTAAACATTCGGCAATGAGTTTTGATGCTCAGATAAAAGACAATAAGCTGAGTTTACAAAATAAATCATATAGTAGAGCTGGCATCATAAAAAAAACAGAAGCGATACACCATACCATAATTAAGTACAAGTATATGACAATACCTTTCTTATTTCAATGGCCGTTCAAATACAAATTGTGTTTATTTGTTGTCTGTCCGCAAGTTTGCCCATAATAGCTGTGGGCAGAAAATTTGCGGAGTAATCGCGTCTCTTCCTTCCCACCTGGTTTCGGTGCTTCATTTTGTTGTGTTTTATTTACATAAAGTTTGGCTATTAATTCATATTTTTGCCTGTTATTCATTGTGGTTATGATTGTCAACTTAACAATTTGATACAAATATTTTGATAAACAATTGATTATTCTTGTGCTGCAAAGAGAAAGAGCACAAACAAAATATCGATTAGTATTGAGTTAGTTAATGACAATTTTTTGTAGGCACTTGACATCACTTATGTAGAGGGTAGACAGATGCCTAATATCTATAGCTGGAGGAAGAGAGACATTTGCATCATACATTATCTCCCATCAGAATTTCTGTGATTTTATGTCAAATCAAGTAATTGTCATTTCCTAATCGATTAGTGAGCAGTTAAAACACAAGACTTCATACGAAGTTAGCTCGAGGTAACTAAGCATAAAAGTATATCTTATTTTGAAATATATCAGTCAACCACAATCGGACAATTGGCTTTCAATCGATTGCACTAAAGAAACATTTGCAATCCGATAAAGCCATTTGTGATAATCCTCCGCTTTACTGACGCATTTCATTAAACTTAACTTAGAACTTTTTGCCAAAGATAAACAAACATAATGGTTTATGCCTTCACACATGCTTTTACTCGTAAATCGATATGAACTGGTGTTAAAAGCAAGCAGATACAATTAATTATTTATTATGTGAGTAATTAAATCGTTTGATTACTGTTCGGAATGGGCTAATGCTATTAGTAAATCAAGAAATTTCATTGCATTAAGCTTATCACATATATGTATTATTTAAAGTTTGGGAATGACTTTGGATAGCAAGTCGATACCTGGTTACACATTATTAATGTGAATATTTGTGAAGTTGCGAGATTTTCAAATATCTCTAAAGGAGCGTCAACTAAAAGGGCAATTATAATTTCAAATTTAAAAGCATACCCAAATATTTTGGAAACTATTAAGAAGATGTTTACTGAGTAATTATATTTTTTAGGCAGAAACTAAATTTGTTAACGTCTACTATATATAAGTTCTTTACCTGGTTTTATTAATTTTTGCTTATTATTTAAATATAAAATGATTCAATGATTTATATGATTCAATGATCATATTATATTTCCAATTAAAATATAAAATTAAATTATATCCCCTAAATATGAACACCGATTCAACTTTAAAAAATAAACTAACAAGCTATGAGTCAGCATGAAATTCACGCAACTTTCCAAATGCGATTTTTGTCAGGAATTATTCACATTTAAATTTTGATTTGAAATTAATTACTTTTATTTCTAAAACAAATTTTTGCACATAAGCTGATTTTATTGCTCTGGCATTTGTTCGAAAATAATTTAATTTTACTATAAGGCATTAGAAAATGCGGGAATTAAATATACAATTGTTGAGAAATGCAATAACAGAAATTGGAGAGAGAAAATAAATCGCAAAAAGCGAATTTTCTTTTGACAGACATTAATACAAAAAGTCGTGCATATTTGAACGAACGACAAAAATAAAAATTCATATTATTTTAAATCGTGAAAATACTTTCAAAAACTTGTACCACAAAGCGACTGTGCAATTAGTCAACAATTATTAAAAACGACTAAAAGTCGAATGCTGAAGAACACGAGATCACACATATGCACTCGCACACATTCATACGAAACGTGCAACATGTGTCAACAACAAAATGGCAAACCTCGGACTTTGTGGCTAATTAGGGCAAATAATTGCGGCCCAAAAAGCGTTAGCGTCAACAAATTTCACTGTTGCAACATTTTCCCAAATTGCCGCTGCTGCTGTGCCGTTAAATAAATAAGCGACAATGACAACAACATGCTCGCTTGCTTTGGTGTTGACAATTTTATTACAAAACATGCTCTGGGGAATTTGCAGTTTGAGCCGTTTAACAGAATCAGGTTTGCAAATTTTTATAAATTTTCTCGATTCACTAATTTGACATCTGCTTAATTCAACTTATCCCTTTAGCTTTCGTGTTTTAGTAGTGAAATTTTGTGAAAATTTATTGGATTGTTGTCTTCGGCCATTTAAAAGTGTCAAAACTAATTATTTAATTACTTAAGTCATATCACTGTTAAAAAATAAAATTTTGAAAAGGACAGAGGTCGCACAGAGTTATGTGGTTTGTCTCCAAACATATCAAAAATCTTGCATCACATTTTTATAAAACATCATAGGTCAGGTCTTCTATGAAAAACTTACAAGTTGATTCATCACTTGCCTTTTAAGTAAAGAGTAACAACTTTAGAAAGTTTAATATGATTGCTACAGTACACTATAGAAACTTCGATTTCGTGCAAAAAAACGTCTGCGATTCTTTTAATTTCGAAATGCCAAGTGTCGAAAAAAAATGTATTATGCTTTTTGAAATGCTTTAATTTAATTTTTTTGTAATTCTGCTTGACTTTGTAGTACAATTCTGTGGTTTCCTTTTGTTATCTCATCTAGTATGTTCTTGTGGCATATACTCACGTAAATCTGTGATTTTTAACTTTAAAATTTGTCGGAATTGTCAAAAATTCTTCAAAACTGAGAACAACAAGTTATGATAACATAAATTTTATATCTTTAAGATTGCTCGCGTTATGATTGTTTATATTATGTCTGAAGTTTGAAGTAGTATGGAAATACATTAATGCTTCGTATAAGTACAAAATGTTGGAGATTCCAGTTGTTGTGTGATCCGAGTGTTGTTGTAGACACACATGAAGAAGAGTGGAACTTCCATGCAAGCAAAAAATTCGAGCAAATATTTCTTACGGGCATAGCCACTTAATTTTGAGGTTAAAACCTTTTTACCAAAAACACTCGAAATGCCTTGAAGCGCATACAAATTTTTTTCGCATTTGAAATACAATTTTACCAAAATATATTATCTGCTGATGCAAAGAAGTAAAAGATATAGAAGAAAGAATTCCTTTTTCAGGATATCGAAAATAATTTGAGATTCGTTGATGTACAATGTTTTTGTGCTTCTTACAACTCGAGTTTGTTTAGGATCGCATTTCAATGATGCTGTTGTTTTTAATTTAAAAGAGTTTATTGTGGACGAATAAAATTAATTATCTAAGCTGGTGAGTCTCCCTTCGCACTGTAAACAGTTGAGGAAATCAAAAGGCTCTATTTTTGTTCGCAGAAAGTTGGAAAATAGCAACTAGTCAAAAGAGTTTAAAAAATGTTTTTGTTTATTTTCCTCATTTTTTAATTTATATATTGACCTTGCTTTGCCTTTATTTTCGCATAACACAATTATGGGATTTTGGTTTGCTGTGTCGCCGCCTGTCCGTTTCTTTAGAGCTTCTTTTGTTATTGTTGTTGTTGTAACGACTTGCTCATTACTCTTGTTATGCAACTCAACTCATTAGAAACGCTTCGCTCCACATTGCAAACCGAGAAACGACAACAGAGCAATAAGTGAAAGGAACACGAAAAAAATAAATATGCAAATAGTAGAATTTAATTTAATTTACAGCCTCAGCCACCACAATTCAAATGAGATTTTTATTTAGGAAAGCAATTACCGCTGGCAAAACTCATCGCATCGAATGCCAAGTACAAAGTCTTCGCGCCAATTTTCATGCATTTAATTAGCGAAAGGGAGTGGAAGAAGCAACGAAAAATTGCACAAACGCATCCTATATAGATTATTTTCTTATTCTACGTAGTGTATTTCGTTTTATATGGCTTCATCTTTGGTTTTTGTTAGCGCGGCCCACCTTGCGGTCATACTACTTAGTTAGCATTTTTCCACACGAGAAATGGCTTAATTTGCACGGACGATTGCAATACATAGCACAACACCACCTTCAACAACAACAACACAAATGATCGCTTAGATAGCAGTTAAAGTCGGTGCAACGGGGCGTATGCGTAACGTCCGAATTTATAGTGTTTTCTCAGTTAACTGAAACCTATTAACCAACTCCCACAGCTGTCCGCTTGCCTGTTACGGTTCTTCTGGTTCTCATATGGGTCAAGCCAGCAAATCTCGCTTTGCCTTATTATGCTGCACGCAACTGTCTACACACAAATGAAGCACGTAGAAAACTTGTACATCATCCTCATGCTGTGTGAAGAAAAAAAATATAAACACCCTTGATCACATGCCATTAAGTACAAGAAAACTACGTGATACCTCCTCTTATAATATAACTATAACTGTTTTATTGGTTTCCTTCGAAAAAGTTGAACTTTTTTTATTACCTCATACTATTTGCAATTTCTGTTTTCAATTGTGAATACCATACGTTTTTAGTTACTATAAGTTTAATTTGCACCTAGTACCACGGCAGTTATGAAAGTTTGTCAATTTATTTGCTAGAAAATTTTGAAAAATGAACAGGGTCGTATTATTTGTTTGCCCACACGGAGTTAGCTCTATGGTTTGAGCACCATTTTTCTATTTTAACAGCACTCACTCTACAATGATAAGTAACTAAATATACACAACAACAAAAAAAATAACAAATGAAGTATGAAGAAAAAAGTGAAAGCAGATAAAATATGCCATTAAAATAATCGAAATTCGAGGAAAACAAAGTGAAGTATATAACAGTAAAGAAAAGTTGAAAGAGGTTGTTTACCGTTATATGTGTCGCCCTATAGTCAACTATAAACTACAACACAAAAAGGCTATTTTCCTGGAAAACACTTTCACTTCGAAATTAGCTTGGGAAAAATTTTTTCGATTTGTAAATGACCGTTAAGGTAAATGAGAAGCGATATGAGTGTTTGTTTATGTATATATGTGGGCTTACTGTTGGTGATTAAGAGAGAAAGGTCATGAAGTTTGCGGCGAAAGGATGAACTAGTTAAAGACAATAGAAGGCTAATAAGGGAAAAGGGGAAGAAGAAACAAAATGGGAGCGTGTTCTTGTGTGTGGAGACAGAAAGCATTAAGTTCTTGAATGAAATGACAAATATTTCCAGAGTTTGCATGTGTACTTACTGTGTTCGTTGGGGAGTGTTTAAGCAATGGTTCGAGCTTGTCTCTCGGTATGCTGTGAATTAGCTAGCGGCTGAGCAGTCAACTTTAAAATTTGTATAGCGAGAAAGCGAAGTAGCATTGCTTTCTGATTATGCTCGTAGTGTCGTGGCGCCTGCTACTCAACTCAAGTGGTAATTAAATGACTAACG